ACAGTGCCTGATTAATACTTAGTAATCTTTTAACTAATCAAAAGTGTTATGGATATGATGTGATACAAACGAATCAAATAAATTTATAGTAATCATTTACATTGATTTGAAGTAATTTTAAAGAGACTATGCAATATTATGAACCACACAACATAATAAACAAAGTAAGGTAGATAATTAAATCAAAAACCTATTTCGAAGTTTGAAAACTATAAATTGATGACCCAAAAATAAGAAAATGTTTGCCTTGATTTTTAAAACACTATATGACAAATTTTTTTGTAGCTTATTGCCTATCCAAACCGAAACCCATAGTCAAGGTATATACACTCCCTGCATGTTCTACCTAGTCAATCAATTATGTAGAACACCTACATGTTCTACCTATTTAGTTAGTTGATGTATGTTCACTCCCTGCATGTTCTATTATTCAGATAAAAAAATAAACTTGTATAGGAATTAATTCCACGTCGCCGGCTTCACAGATTACACCACTATCCACTAGATATTGCACTATCATCAATAGTATCAATAAATTATAAATATAAACTTGTTTTTAACATAATGCAAATTTACAACAACTATTTGAAACAAAGAGCTATTATCCATCTACATATAATATCAATTAAAAACATAATATCAAAAACTTTAAAGTATGATGTTTTAATGTATTTTGTATTTTCCTGATAATAATAAACTGCATATATTTTTGAACAGGAACACAGTGAAAAGATAGCTACAGCTGTATATCAAGAGTAAAATCCATTATAAATTTGCACAAAAAATACATTCTAAGCAACAACACAACCCTATTAAAAAATTTCAACTGCTTTAATAAAAATCTCTATTATTTAATATTTACCTTTCCTAATAAAAAAATTCTACAGTGAGAAATTTTAAATTATGATATGCTAACCATGTTAAACGTTTTAACATAGATAAATACAACAATTATCTTTTAAAGATATGGAAGTTGTAAGAAAACTAATTCAAGACCTATAGTTGAGTGGAAAATTCTCAAGCATTGTAAAGTAATTTGATTGAAGTAAGCATTGTAAATTTATTTGATTCATTTATCACATCATATCCATCAACTAAATCTTGTAAATTATATCTCACTGAAAAATATAAAATCTCAACTTATAAAGATTCTAACTTGTTAAATAAAACGAGGACATTATTTTTAAGTGCAAAAGACACAAACAGACTCTTTTAATCTCAATTTGACACTGGTGATTAGTAAAGATGTTATTTGACCTTTTGTTTATATCATTTAAAAATGATATAAACAAAATAATTAGTTCGAAAGAAATTCTTGTACAGTTAAATTCATTGGATAAATAGAAATCCTCTGGGAACGATGGAGTCCATCCGTATGTATTGAGTACCTGTTCTTCAAGTCTGAGTATTCCTATTGAACATTGAACGGGAGTAGTGCCAAAAACATGGAAAGACTCAAACATAGTTTCCGATTTTATAAAAACAAAAAATGCAATATACTTGATCCTTCCAACTATAGACCTGTTTCTCTCACGCCAGTTATATGCAAAATTTTACAAAGGATATTAAAAAAAAAAACATTATTTGGCATCTTTTAGACAATAGTTTGATAAACAAGAATCAGCATGGTTTTTTACCTGGTAAATCTTGCTTTACAAATTTACATGAAAGCCAAGATATTGTAACTCTAGCAGTAGATCAAGATTATCCTATTGAGATTCTTTTTACTGACTTTGTGAACTTTTTCAAATACTTTAGTTATTTGACAGAGGTCACCATAGAAAACTTATATAAAAAATTGAAATGTACGGTATAAATGGATTCATTCTTAAATGGATTGAGTCTTTTTTATCTAATAGAAGACAAAGAGTTGTTCTTGAAGACATTGCCGCTACGTGGCTTAATGTTTTAAGTGGTGTACCACAAGGATCTGTTCTGGGACCAATTTTGTTTTTAATTTATATTAATAACCTTCTGGATAAACTAAAAAATAAATGCCAATGATTGCAAAGTTTTCCACATAATCTGTGATGGCAGAAGTAATGATCTACAGGATGACATAAATTCTATTTTCAACTGGTGCAATGACTGGATGACTGGAGTATGCAACTAAATATAGAAAAATGTAAAATAATGCATATCAATAAAATTAATAAATACAGTCTCTTCCCTAAGGAACTTTTGTTGACCAACTGGACCAGCTAAAAGTGTTTGTAACTATGTCCACAATCATAGATATACTTCTGAGACCTGTAGACACTCGAGTAGAAGAAACTTTTTTTCCAATCGTATTATTCCAATTTGGAACAATTTGCCGTTTGATGTCGAACTTAATAAGTCAGTGTTAAACTTTAAAAAAAGTCTTGATAAACATTATGTGAAATAAAATTTCAAATTGTAGTTTTTAAACTTGCTAAAGTGGATTACCGCTGCTAAAGTGGATTACCGATCAGTGGTAAAGTGGATTACCGCTCAGCATTCGCTCACCGCAACAATTAAATAAATAAAAATAAATAAATAAAAACATCAATAAACATCAATATTATTTCCTATTTCTTTTGTATGACATGACTTAAACTTCTTAACTTCTTAAAATGACATGAACTTCTTAACTGATTTTATTGTACTTTTGTAATTGTATTATTATTAGTTTGTACAAGAATAATTATACTTTGTATTATTTTTTTAACACCTTTATAGGTACTTTAACAAATTTTAAATATTTAAATCAAGCTTAAACTGTGTTAAATGCACTTAATGAATGGAACCTTGATGACAAAGTGCAAATAATGTGTTGTGAAACACATTATTTTTTTAAACAGTGTCTAATAAAAGGATATTAAAAGGAGCTTGTGTACCTTTGCAACAAAAACTAGACAGAGAATCAATACAGCTTGCCCTCATCATGCGGCAAGCTGGTTTTAAAATGTGAATTTGAAACAAAAATCCACTAAATCACAAGTAGCCCTGATATCCCAATGTTCAAAAAGTTTAGAGACAACTGGAAAACTATTAATCTGGCTGCTATTGAAACATACACCAATATCGTCAAACAATATTTTAGTAATAAAACAATTAAAGAATTGTTGACATTTTATAATCAAGAACCGAAAAAACTAATGTATGTGACGATTAACAAGAACTTATTGAACTATCAATTATTTTTTAAGGAGGTGATAAAAAAAAGTTTAAAATCAGACCTCCTGGAGCAATGCATTAACCAAAGAGGATGATTAGAGCTACTTAAACTACAGGAAACTGTTGACAAATCAATCTATAAAACAGCCCTAAACAAGTTTTGTCAACATCTTTGTAACTTGTCAGAAGAAATTACAGCCCACATATGGCTATAATTCTTACACCAATTATGTATTATAAATACCATAGCAATACATGACCCACATCTACATCATCCCATAAATCGAGAGTGGCTATCACATTTGGTACGCATTAAATTTAATGTGGCCATCAGATTTGGTGCGCATTAAAATGTCTGATTATTTGTATGGAAAGTAGGAATATATGGCAATATTTTCTATATTGTTTTCACTAATAATAATATTGCCTTATTAATTCGTGCAGGAAAATTATTATATGAATTTGTGTCTGTCAAGAGCACAAATTTGTTTTCTCGATTAAAAATCAACAAGTCTGGAGGATCAGAGACCCATTTCATTGTGGAATAAAGATGTTGCCTTTATAGAAGAAAAAGAAAAACTCTTCCCTTAATGATGCAGCTAAAGAAGCACTACAACTTATTCAAGATTTTCATGGTTTGATCAAAACAAAGAAAGAAAAAAACCAAGTTTTACTATGCTGTGTGCAAGAGCATGTAAACTTGTATCAAAGAGACTCAAAGAAAAATATCCTGCCTGATCTGTAATTTTAAATTCTTTTAATAAATATTTTATAAAATATAGATGTTAAAATTGATTTAGCTATATAACAGAAACGGTTACAAACAGAAATTTGCAAAATCTTCAGAGTTTTGTCAGCATGAATTAATGCTGTCATACAAAGACAAAATTTTATATATTTTATTTAGTCTTAATTTAATTTTATATATTTTATTTTTATAAGTAAAAAAGAAATAGAGGGTATGTATTTTGATATCCATCCATCCATACATACATACATACATACATACATACATACATACATACATACATACATACATACATAAATATATATATATATATATATATATATATATATATAAATATACATATATATATATATATATATATATATATATATATATATATATATATATATATATATATATATATATATATATATATATATATATATATATATATATATATATATATATATATATATATGTTGAAAAAAACTTTTATGGTAAAAAAAAAGTCTCTTTTAACAATAATTTCACAACTTCAACAATTAAGCTACATTTTTATGTCGTCTAAAAGTCAAATCAATAAAAATAATGCAGAAGTACATTGAGTTTTATTGTTTTTTTAAAAACAACAATAATGTTGACTAAAAGGTTTTTTAATTAATGGTGTTTTTTCTATTGTTTTCTAAAAACATATTTATAAAACATGCATGGAGTGTTGCTACATTGACTATCTTATAGTCTGCTGCTACAAGGAAGTGCTTTTACATCGACTTAGAGTTTGGTTTGGGCAAGCAATCTATTATTTAAGAAAAAGATAAAAAAATTTAAGTTTTTAAACTTTTTCTGGTCTGGTTCATAAGCGCCCTCTTTAAAACTACAGTTTATGGAAGAAACATTTCGACTACTGTGCGAGACTATATAAATATAAACATCTATAGGTAATAAAAAATAAGGGGTAAAAAACATTATGCAAATTACCATTGCTGTCTTTAATGTCCACCACAGATCTTAATGATAATAAATGAATGAACTCCACATGTTTATACAATTTATGAATTCCTTTTTGTAAATTGTTTAAAGCAGGACTTTTATAGGTAGTTGTTGAGTTTATAACACGATTCCTTTTACGAGCAAGCTAAATGATATACAAAAATAAATAATACAGAAATACATATTAAATATATCATAACAATGCCTAATTCTGATCAATACTTCTGAATGGTTTTAATAACTTATTTTTTTAGGATTTTCATAAATTTTTTTTTTTTTTTTTTTTTTTTTTATATAATTATAATTATTCACCTCCCCAAGGCCCGAGGGGGCCACTACAGTCGAAGAGGCTAATCATTTTTTTTTCGTTTTTTGTTGTAAATTGTGGTACAACCCTCTCTCAACTCTTTAACTCCGAAACACGAACCTTGACAAGCAAGACCGCTGCGCCGAGAAATTAAGTTGAGCGTGGTACTTCCAGGGACGTGGTGGGAGTCGAACTCCGAACCTCTCGCTTACAAAGCAAGCGCTCTTACCACTACACCACTACCATATAAATTAAAATGATCAAACAATAGTATTAATTGTAATCAACTTTAAGAAAAAAATAATTTTAAAAGTTAAGTAAAAACCAAACTATTAAAACTTAACAACTATAATGATAAAACTGTTACAGCCATCGTTGTCTTATTTTTTTATTTTGATTCACTTTAACTTATTTTTTTATTTTGATTCACTTCAAACAACCACTATTAGGTTGGGAGTTAAAAAGCAAAAAACGGTTGACTGAAGACCTGAAAAGTTGTAGGTTGTATGAATCAGGAAAAAAATAAAGATGGAACAAAGCTCAAGAATGCTGAAGTGTGGGGGAAAAAAAAAGACTAATAAAAGTTTTTAAAGTATGCAGGGACAGGATACAGTAAAAAGATGAGATTTAGTTAAATGACAAGTCGAGCAAGAAAGAGTTTTTGTTGATGGAACTAGAGATGATATCGCTATTTTATATTACTTATATTTTTATATTTAAATATTCTTATGACTTAAATTTTTATCAAAGATATTTTTCGAGATACACCCTAATTTTGTGAATTTATTTAAATCTTTAATGTCATTAAAATCATTGTCATCAGGTACACTTATAATTGTACCTTTTAACAGGGTTATCTTTTATATTGTAATTCTAAATGTAATCAAACTAACTAATCATATTCTTTTTTTTTTTTTGTACCTCAAAAAAAAAAAAAGAATATGATTAGTTAGTTAAAAAAGAGAAGATCAGACCAATGAATTAGAAATGGAATAAGCATTCCATCTCTAATTCATATTATTAGCTCTCCCTAGGATAAGGCATAACTATTTGCAAAGAACTTTACTTCTAATTCAACTCTTGAATTTTATGGCCTCTTCCTTCCATTGCAGTTAAACAGGTTAATCTATTGTTAGACATTTAAATTACTATAGCTTCCATTATTTTAGTCATATCTCAATTAAACTCTTTTATGGCTTGTGTTCCAGACAACATTCCTGTCAGAGTCTTACCAAAGTGTACTCCACTAAAACTTGGAGTATGCAGTGGATAGTGAATTTTTAACTCAAAACTCAAAAACTGCAAACAACTATTATAACATTGTCGACATTCCTTTCTAAATGATTGGCAAACCTCACACAATGTCCTATTCTTTATGTCTTCTTGGATTATCATTTACTACTGATCTCTTGTGTAAATCATATATTCAATTGATTGCAAAGTAAGCATCTGCTTTTCTGTATCATGTCTGTTAATTTATTCCTAATTTTTGCTTTTTTAATCTGCTAAGGTTGCCAGTGACCAGTATTGTAGAAACAAATACTGGTCACTGCTCATACAATATCATCTCTAGTTATCATCTCTAGCTCCATCAACAAAAACTCATTTTTACTAGACTCGCCATTCATCAAAGTTGCATCCTTTTACTGTATCTGTCCCTTCATGTTCTAAAAACATTTAGTTTATTTAACTCAATGCTTTAGAATTCTTTGCTTTCAACTCAATGCTTTGGAATTCTTTCATCCCTATACTTTTCAGACTCATAAAATCCTTGAAATTAGAAAAAATAAGTTCAGCAAAAAATTGCCAACCTAAAACTGTTTTAGGTTGGTATCAGGTCAGCCACAATAGTTAAAAACAGAACTTGACAAATCAACAAACTGCAAATACTTAGCATAAAATTGAGACAAAAACAAACTTTTCTATTAAATGTTGGCATTACCTTGAATGGAAAAAACAAATTTTACCATTACATTAGGAATTCAAATGAAACAATAGTTTTGCAGATATTATTTTAATTTATTTAAAATTAATAAAACATTGTTTTTTCTGTTTCTTTTAAATAAAATGTTTGTTTTTCTATTTTTTCATTTTTTAATTTAAAAATTTTAAACTAAATTTTAAACTTTTATAAAATTTAATAAGGATTTGAATAAAAATTAAATTTTTCAGTTTTTTTTAATTCCGAGAGCAGTACAACCTTTAACTTTTGAATTCTTCTGTTAAACATTTACTAGCTCTTCAACTCTATTCTTTTTTTTTCTAGTAACTCCTTAGTTAATAGTGGTTACTTGCAGCCTCGTTGGAAGTGAATTAAATGAAAAATATATAGTATATACATATACATTAAATTCAAAACTTGACTTGAGATAAATAATGAGATCTGATGAGAATAAAAAGTTTTATATTGTTTTTAATGAAATTTTATTTTGTCTTGAATAAAATTTTAATAAATAATTGTGTTTTTAATTATTTAAAATAACCTCATAGAAGTTTTTTGTTTAATGTATAGAGCAGAAATGCAAAAAATTGGAAAGTGCATAGATAAAATATTGAAAGTAATAGTTATAAAAATCACAGGCATTATTTGTAGATCTGGAAAAAAAAAAAGTGGAAAAAGTTAAAGTTGTTTTTTGTTTTTGTTTATTGCTATGTTTTTGTAGGATAAAAAGCTTACTTATATTTTATTTTATTTTTTTATATATTAAATACATATTAAATTTTTAAATCTCAAACATGCTGAACTTGTCAAAAAAAAAAAAAAAATGATTCTTTGTACTAACTTGCATAAAAATTTGGTAAAAATATGATTGATACCAGTATCAGACTTCAAATAGAAGAATCACAAATGATAAGCCTCCAGAAACATTAGTTGAAAATAACACCCTATCTCCAGAGCTTTATCCATTTTTTAGGTTAATTGCAATGTTTGTAAAGATTTTATTTTTTCTTTGGCCTGGGATTTATAGCTAAAAACTAACTTACCCCTGCTGACAAAAAAAAACTTATTGAATTTTTAGTTATCCAGTTTTACTTTTTTAGTTATTTTGTTTGAAAAGTGTTATCTTTTACTGAAAGTTTTATTTACTTAGATTAATTAATAAAAAAGTTATCAAAAAATGAAGCCAACTAAATTAATTGAACAAGTGTACAACTATTGTAATTTGCATCCCAATGCTAAAACGAAGAGCATCATAGAGTATTCTGTTGCCTTTAATCACCCCGAAAGAACCATCAAACATTATATGGCAAAGTGTAAAACAACAATAACAATTATCTCATAAGCCTGGATCAGACAGAAAACCAAAAATTATGACTGATAGGAACATCAATCGCCTAAAAGGTCTTTTGAACAACCAGTCTGGAACTTCAACAAGAAAAATTGCAAATAAATTCATGTGTTATCATTTACATTGTAAAAACATTAAAAAACAAAACAAACATTTATTATTTTAAGAAAAAACAAATCTCTGATTGCACTGATCGCATTGATAAACAGTTCAGTTGCAACTAAAGTGTGAAGTGCCATGGTTTCTGAATTTGTCGCAAATTCAAACCGTGACTTTGTCATTGAGGATGAGTCTTATTATACATTTAAACATACGAATAAAAATTCTAATGCTGTATTTTTCTCAGATGAAGCAAAAAATGTACCAAAAATTGTAAAATATAAGCGCAAAAGTAAATTTAAAATATATATCTTGTGTGATTACCATTTCACCTCGCGGAATCTCAAAACCATTTATTGTTCATGCGAGACTGGCATGATTAGATTGATAAAAATGATAAGATCATCATACAATTGGATCCTTTTATCAACAAACATCACAGTGATGGTAGTTATGTATTCTGGCCTGACTTGGTTTCTTCACATTATGCTAGAAGTGTGACCAATTACTTTGATCAGAAAAATATCTGTTTTGTACAAAAGTTGATAATTCTGCATGTGTCCCAGAATTACAACCAATAGAAGATTTCTGTCAACCCTTAAATGCTACATGTATGAAAACAATTAGGAAGCTCAAAATGAAGATCAGCTGCGAAAAAGAATCCACTCTTGTTATAGAAAAGTAAAATGATAAAAATAATAATAATGATAAAAAATCTTGTACACTGCATGTGCAAACATGTATACAAAAAAGTTGCCACAGTACGTCGTAATGGCAAGAGAAAGCATTATTTCAGTTCCGAAAGTAAAAAACTAATTATTGCTTTACATTTTGTACTAATTTTTTTGTTCATTAAACCTTTTGTTGTACTGTTACTGCTTGTGTTTATTTAAATTTATGTATGTTTCCTTATTTAAGTTCATTATTTTATCGTAAATTTTGAATCATTTTGTTTTACGGACATACATGGAAACATACATAAACTCGAATGTTCTCAAACATCTTTGTGCAGAAAATAAAAAAAGAATATTTGCGAACACAAAAAACCCACCAAATCTACGAACAACTAATTCTTTTAGTTCAAAAAATACTAACTGAAATTTATAGAGTATTTTGTTGAAATATTTTTAAACATTGTATTATTTGAGTTTTGTTATGTTTTCGTTGAGATTTCTAGCATAAATTGTTTTAAGAATATACTATCAAAAGAACTATTCTTTTAATTCTCGGAGCCACATCTACAAAGCGATAAATGTTTTAAACTAACATTATTTGTTTACAAAAATAAATGTTTTAAATTTATCTTTTTTAACTTTTTGTTAATATATTATAGATTTTATTGTATATTCTTATTTTTTATATAAAGGATGTATTTTTTATGTATGTAATGTATTTTTTATGTAATGTATTTTTATGTATGTATTTTTGTGCATTTAATTTTATGTATGT